TAGGGGATGCCTAGTATCTATATGAAGATGTTGTGACTAGGGGATGCCTAGTATCTATGACATGAAGATGTTGTGACTTGGGGATGCCTAGTATCTACGATATAAAGATGTTTTGAGGTTTGCATCATAGGAGTCAATAGTATCAGCGGTAAAGATGACCTGAAAGGCTTCCTGTAGAAGCTCCTACCTGTCCTGTGAAGACTCTTTAAACAAGGAGCGACCAGTTTCATGAGTGGGTGAGTTTAGAAACTTCTCTTATTCTTAGGCCTACATTAGCCCCTGGAGCTCCCAGTTAGGAAGGCACGGGGCTGCTTCATTTGTGTTCCTTGGGTGGGTGAAGACTTGTGTGTTAGGATCCTGGGAGTTTGGGCGATGAAGTCACAGTGAGGATGAATCGGCCCCAGCAACAAGGTGGCAAGATGAGTGAGTGGCCTAGGTGACCTCCAGGCAAGGACATGGCCAATGAACTTCAGGAGCAGCAGTGCCTGATTTTGTGCTAAAATTTCCCTGTTATGGTCAAACGCTCAGTCAATGCAATGAACATGCGGCCCAGTATTAGCCATGCTAGGGGTGGGCGGGGGTAGGTCATGGTGCCCAGCTTCAATTGCCATCAAGGCATAGCCACAGGGGTGGCTGGGGCGGGCAGCTGTTGATGCTAGGGGAGAAGCCAGAGTCCTCCAGAGTGCCCCTCCCCCCAGGGGATTTTTCTGATGCCCAGGGAGGGGCTGGGCTGTCTGCTGGCACTGCTCCAACTACTGTTATTTGGAAACTGGGTTACACTTGGGAAGCACTTGGCACTTGATAAATGGCAGCCAACAATATCATAATTGGAAACCAGAGTTCTCGTTCCCATGGGCCCCTCGCATGGCAAGGGTTTTCACGGGCTGACATCTGTCTGTGGTGTAACTGTGGCTTGTTGCCCCTCCCTATCTACCCAGGCCAGGGCTATGTCCATCGGCTGCAGACCTGGGCTTGTGTCCTGCTCTACCATGTTCTGGCAGAGAGACCCTGGGCAAGTCCCTTAGTCTCACTAAGCCTCAGTGTCCTCATCTGTACAATGGGATACCAATGCCTATAAAAGGCTTAGGGACAGAGCCGGGTATAGAATGTCCACACATGAAGCTATTAACTCCCTATGATAGGTGTGTGGCAGGTGGATGAGGTCCCTTCAAGCCTAAAAGGTAACCTGGAAACTCAAATTGGGTTTGTGTGGCTTCCTGGGCAGGCCCCCACCCATTCCCTGCAGGAGTTCTTTTTAACTATCTGCACCTGCAGCCTAGCCTCATCTTCGATGCACAGGAATCCTCAGGGAGTGTGTTTAAAATGCAGACTCATGGGCTCTGCCCCTAGAGACTGATTTAGAAGATCTGGGCAGTGGGCCTTAGGATCTGCACTTTAAACACGCTCCCCAGAAGAATGCATCTTTCACCGCCTGCCAATCAGGTGCTTTTGACTTTGGTCTAGCCGAAGCCCTCTATCTGCAGCCTCTGGTTGCTCTGGTTCTTTCTGGGAGAAACAGTCCTGACAAGGGATCTGGGGTGGAGGAGTAGGAGGATTTCTTGGGGGAGAGCAAGGGACTTGGGGGAAGGTAGTAATGTGGGGGCTTTGGAGGTTCAAATCCAATCCTGTTAACTGCTAGTTGTGTGATAGGAACTCTTCTAAGCCCTGGTTTCCTAATCTGTGAAATGGGGATAGCAATGTCTGCCCCAGAGGCCAAGTGAGGATTAGCCATCATGTGTAAAGGGCAAGGTGACAATGCCCCACACAAGGAAGGTGCCTGGTAAAGAGGAGCCACCCTGTCCAAGCAAATTCTATACTCTCCTTCTTCCAGGGCAGAATGGGCTGGAGTCACTGTCTCCAGGGGCTGGAGTCACTGGGCTGAAGCAGACACAGAGACCTGGAAGGACCAGGCTGGTTGGTACTCACCACCGAGGACAGGTCCACGTTCTCCACCCTCCTGTCCTGCAGCAGCACAGGCTGCAGGCCGGCCACGCGGAGCTGCACCGAGGACGTGCGGTACACGAAGCTCAGCAGCCAGTCTCCCCTGCGGGTGGGCAGCGGGGAAGGGAGTGACTGGTAGCCTTGGGACATTCGAGAACAGGATGGGCCCTGCCTGCCTCCCAGGGAAGCCTTGGTGGGACTGGAGCTTCTGCAGGAACCCAGAGCCCCTGGCTGCACAGTGCAGAGCAACGATGCTGAAAGCAACAGTGGCTGACAGCTTTGGAGCCCGGCTCCGAGGGCCGGGCCTTTGCACGAGCGCCAGGGAAGCTCCATGACACTGTCTTTTGTGTTCCCTGCTGGGTCCCCCAGCCAAGAACAGTGTCTGTCATGCAATAGATGAATATCTGTTGAATGAATGAGTGAATGAATGAATAAATTGGATACAATTCTTGACAAGCCAGCAAGTACCTTGGGAGAGCTGCTTCCAGCTAGGGAGAGGTGGTTGGCTAGGGCTCCCTGGCAAAAGAAAAAAGTTGGTAAAGGTCTGCCTGGGGGAGGGAACCAGTGCAGGTAGGGTGGAACTCTGAGGTCTAGAGGGCACGTCTGTATGTCAGCTGGAGGGACCAGCTCTGCTTTCTGAGGACGGGCCCAGCCCAGCCTGCAGGTTCTCCTGCCCTCAGCCATCTAGAGGAGGCAAGGGTGCTGCCAGGCAGGTCACAGCCTGGGGGACACTCCTCCACTTTCATGGGTGCTGTGTACCCCACTCCCTGAACCCACCCACTACACGATCCAGAGAAAATAACCTGGGACTCTCTGCTGCCCATTTCTTCAGGTGCAAGCAACAAGCACTGTCTGTGGAGGACATGATCTGAGGGTCCCACGAGACAGGCTTCCCTCTCGAAGCCCTGGCCTTTGTGCCAGGAGCCATGCACTGAGCCTTGCCACTCAGCAAGTCCGTGCACATGCAAGTTTCTGCTCTTTTCTTGTGACCTATACTCAGGCCCAACTTGGCACATCTGGCCGTCTTTCATTTAGACTCATTCTGACTCTGGTTTGCATGGCAGTCCATCCTTTTTGTACGTTTGCTTGTTTAAAAGACAAGCCCTCCCTCACTGCAATGTGGGGTGGGAATATCTGAGAGTCAGAAGGCCTGGCCTGCATCCTAGCCCTGCCTATGTGACCTGCTGTGTGACCAAGGTGTGGCGGTGCTCTCTGGGTCCCTCCCAGTTCTGACCCTCAGTGGTCTCTGACCACATGGGTGCATGTGTGGGTACCACTCCAGAAGGCCCTAGAAGGGCCTGGGCCCAGAGCTGAGGGGCCCTCTATAGACTCTCCTGCTGTGTCCCAAACTGAGCTCATCAGCCCCCCGACTCCTTCCCCACTAACATCTGCCCAGTCCCTTGAGCAGAAACCAATGTCTTAGGTAGCTCCCACCCATGACCAACCTACCACAGAGTCCTGTTGACTCTTACACCCCCTCCCCCCAAATACCTGTCCCTTCTGCTCCAGCCCTGAGATCAAGCACCCCCCTCCCTGCCCCCATGGACGAATGACATATCACCCCCTTCCTTCTCTGCCTTCACCTCTCTCCAGCCACTGTGGCCTCCCAAAACACCCAGCTGACCACGGCTTGGTGGGAGCAGTACCTGAGATGGTACCTGTACACACAGGTGTGCAGGGAGCCTCGGCTGTGATCATTAGCTCCCACTCTGGCCCTTCATGTGTGGTGTGGCCTCTCTCCTGCTCGGCCTATGTTCCAATCTCTGATGGGCTCCTACAACATCCTTTCAAAATTCAGCTTGGATGTCACCTCCTCCAGGGAGTGCCCCTGAGCCCCTCCACCTGATACTATGAATCCTTTGCCCCTCGTGGGCCTGGTACTTGCTCCTTTTGTGATGTTCAGCACGAGTCCTCCCATATGTCGGTCCTGTGTCTTCTTTCCTGGGCAGACAGTGCCTCGAGGGCAGGACGGTGCCTCAGTCGTCCAGACCAGGAGCTCCCTGGGGCAGGGCTCAGCAAGCCTCGCTTTCACAGGCCCTGCTGGGGATGCCGATGCACAAACCCCACGACCTACCGGACCCTGGGTTCCTGCCACTGTGACCTGCTGACTCTGCTCACTCACCCCGCACCTTCTCCTATCATCCCCCTCCCCACGTGGTACCTACGGCAGAGACCAGAGGGTGGCCTCTTGTCCCTGGGCTACAAGGAGTCCCTCTGGGAACTCAGTGGGGTGGGACATCTGAGTTCACATTCTGTCTCTGCCTGTGGGACCCTGGGCCAGTCACTTGCCCTCTCTGAGCTGCATTTCCTCAGGGGTGCAACTGGGAGCAACTACTTGCCGCAGCTAGCTTCCAGCGGGGCTTGTGAAAAGCCCAAGTGAATGGATCTGCCGAGAGCCTCACGAATGTAAATTACATCTGTATAAAAGTATACAGTTCGGTAGTGTTGGCCTGAGCCCCCCTCTGCCACGGTTAGGAAGGTTCACAGCAACTAAAAGGCCTTTGGGGGCCGAGAATCTGAACTCCTGGTTGGTGTCTAACTTAACCAAGGAACCACAGTTGCTGTTTCAGGCTGTGCACACCCTCTCCCCTCCTCCCCTCTCTCTACAGAGAGAGGGCCCAGGGTCTTGTAAAATAATTGAAAACCAAGCTCTTTAGCCTCCGGATCTCAACAGAACAGATGGGTTTAATAAGATCTTACTGCTTTCATACCGCACACATGCAATTTTAATTCTTTTCCTTTGCTGAGTATGAAAAGGACCAAAAAACCGTGTGCTACGTGAGTATGCCCAGTCATAAATATTACGACTGCTATCATTTATTGGGCACCTCCTAAGTGTCAGCCCTTTTCCTTCATAACACCACTCCATCTTCCCAGAACCCCTGTGCAGGAGGGACTGTTATTCCTGTTTTATAGGCGACGATACTGAGATTCAGGGAAGTTGTTTGTTTCAAGCCACCCAAAAGGTAAATGGCAGAGCCAAGATTTTAACTCAGAACTGTCTGACATCAAAGTCTTTGTCCATTCATTTCCTTCTTTTTAAAACTATCCCTGGGCTGGCTGGTTAGCTCACTTCGTTAGAGTGCAGCCTTATAACACCAAAGTCACAGGTTCGGATCCCCATACCGGTCAGCTGCCAAAATAAAATTACCCTTACTTTAAAAAAAAAATCAAAGTTTGTGTTAGATACTACCTTCAATCTCTGTCCACTCCTTAGGGGTGGCCACTGTGATCAGTGCATATGATTCTTCTAGGCCTTACTGTCAACTTGTAGACATACAGAGACATATGCATGTACATGCAGAAACTTCTTCCCTCCTGCGTAGAATCACAGTATAAACTGTGGCGCTAGCTTTCTTCCCCCTTAACTATTTCCTATTTATAGACATTTAGGTTGTTTTAAAATTTTAATTATAAGTGAAGCTGCAGTGATCCCTTAGCACATCCATCTCTGTGCATGGGTGTGAGGATCCTGTATCATGGAATCTTAGAAGTCAAAATGTGTGGTGTCAGAAAGTTAAGAATTTTGATAGATTCTGCCAACTGTCCTCTGAAAGAATTTACTAAATCCAGCTGCCACCAACAGTGTATGACACTGCTCATTTTCCCACATCTTCACCAGCACTAAATGCTATTTATGTTTTAAATGTTTGATAATCTGATGGGTGATAAATAGTAGCTTACTGATTTTAGCCTGCATTTATTTCATTAATGATGAGGTTGGACATCTTTTCAAAAGTTTATTGACTGTATTTATTCTATGAGTTTGTGCGTATATATTCTTTGGCTATTTTCTTATTAGATTTTTTTCTTATTGATTTGTGTGAGCTCTTTATATACTATAGTTCTTTGTCTTTTGTTTCTTTGTTCTTTCTACTATATCCTGGTTCTAAGAACTTAGGTTAGAGTGTGAGTGATTAGAGCCAAACTGATTGAACTCCTGTGTCCTGGTTAATGTTCTCTATCTATGGCTAAAAATCACCTTTAGCTTTGAACTACTCAGCTGCTAGATTATTGCTGTGAGCTAAATTATCAAAATGATAAAGACCTCCAAAATCAATTCCATTTAACTTTGGAGGGTTGGGCTTAGATCAAAATTAAAGTTAACTGGCCTCATCTGAGCATATACTACTTACTAGCAATGGTAGAAAGCTAGCAGAAAAATATTGTATGGGATGAACATTTTACCATGTATGATTCAGATTGTAGGTTACCCACTTATATGGTGTGTTGGCAGTGTCGTAAACTCTTGACAAATAAAATCTGAATGTAATCTCCAGAAGGGCAGGGATTTTCATCTGTTTGGCTCAAGGTCAGGGAGAATAGAATGAGGTGGGGAGACTGTTCTGGTTTGGAGAAGACTAAAGAAGTCCCCAGTGCCTAGCACGTAATAGGCACTTAATAAAGACCTGCTGAATGCAAATAGTTTTAACAACTCAAATATTCTATAGAAACTGTGTCCTGGAAGGGAGGGAAACTCTCACAGAGGCCTAATGGTCTCTTCCAAAGAAATCAGTCTTGAGATACATATTCTGGTTCTGGCATGACCTGGAACAGGTGACTTAACCTCTCTGAGCCTCAGTTTCCTCATCTATAAAATGGGATTAATAATATTAACACCACAGGGTTTTGGGGAAGATGAAAGGAGATAATAACAACAAAGGCAGGGTCTGGCAGGTGGTGAGTCTAATCCTTGTTATCTCCTTCCCGTCCCCCACTGCTGCATGACTGCGTTTCTAGTTCTTTAAAAATATAACTGAATTTCCAGAGGTGTCCTTTCCTTTAGACATCAACATCTCTCATCTTGTCTCAGCTACACAGTTTGCTGGATGCTTCTGAGTTGCCTCTAACCTCAGGCTGGAGGATCTTCCCCCTCCACCCAGAAATAGATTCCTTAGAACTGGGAATCCAGCTCCCTCCTCTTTCTCCACACTTTGCCTTTCAAATAACCTCACCTGTCCCCTACCCCTGGCTTCAGCGGTCTCCCAGGCTGACAGGCTCACCAGCCCTCCCTCCAGCTCTAATTTCTCTCTGATTTCTAGTGCTGCCTTTCCAGGTGCCTGCTGCAAAATTCATGCTCATAACCCAAAAGAATCAGCCGCTTCCCCAGCAAGTCCTTCCTCTTTATTTTTTTAAATGTTATTTTCTTAAGTTGTGTTAATGGAGTCAGTCACCTCCCATCAAAGCCGTGGAGTCATTTTTTCTTCCTCTTTCTTCTCTGCCCCCAACAACCAATCACCTAACGTTACTGTTTCTCAAACTCAAAACTTGTCTTTTGGATCTGGGTTTAGGATGTCACCTTCTCTGGATGGCTTGGTCAGCCTCCTGTGCTTTTGTGGTAATGATTCCAAAATACGGTCCCTTATGTGAAACCCTCAGGGTCTGATGGGTTTCAGAATCCAGAATGTTTTGGTTTACAAAGGTGATCTGGCTTGCAGTCTGTGTATCACAAAATACTCCCGCAAGGTTTGGGGTGGCGCCCCCTCGTCACTCAGCCTGTAAGCACAGTGGGCGAAGTAAAGCCCAGAGTCGACTCTCATCAGTTCAGGGCAAGTTTGTCACTAAAAGGGTTTGCACTACATTTGGAGAAAAAAGCCTTCAGTTTTCAGAGCTTCTTGGAATTTGGTGTCACCAACAAGCTATCGTGTGCCTGGCTGGAGTTGTCTGTTTTCCTGCCTATCTGCCCTGGTAGATGCTAGGTTGCATGTGGCTGGAGCTGGGTCTTGTCCCCTGTGGTAGCCCCACCATGGTGTGTAGCATGGGGTTGGTGTTCACTAAAAGTTTGTTGAATGAAAATCCCAAGTGATTGATGATGAAGATCACACAAAATGGTACCACCACCCATCATTCACAAAGCATGTACATAAAATCTGCAGCCCTGCAAATCATTCCACCAGCATCCCAACCTTGGGGGCATTGCTACTATGATCCCTTCTTTACTGATGGAGAAACTGAGGCCATCACTGACCTGGGTGTGTGTGATTTCGAATCCTGCTTTGTTAAACACTGTCACCCTGTCCTTTGCTTCATCCAGAGGTTGAACAGACATGGTATCAATTCTCAGGTCAATCTCCTGAGAGCTCAGGGTGGGCTTTGTCTTCCCTCCTTCCACAAAGGCTGGGTCGCAACTTGGCTAAAACCCCTCACGTCTTCCTCTTCCAACTCCAAACATGGGTTGCTTCCTTCCCAGCCTCCTAGACCTCCACTTTTGCAGGCCTCCCACCTTGCTGGGGGGATCTGTCACCTTCCTGGGTACTGGCTCCTGCATCACCATCAGCTTCCTGTTCCATCCCCTGCCCTGCTCGAAGCAGTGCCCTGAAAGCTCAGTCTAAGACCCCCGCCACCTGCTTCCCCCACTGCCGAAGACTAGCTCCTTAGTCCTCATTCAAAGATCTCCCATGGGGGGCCCAATCTTTGTTTTTCAGTCAACTTACCCACGCCCCTGACCCCCTACCCCAGCTCCAATCATGCTGAGCCACCCTGGCCTCTCCTGTCATTCTGCAAGCTGGCCTCAGGCCTGATGCAGGGACATCCTTTCAGGATCTTCCCCCTGTTGTCAATAATCCTACGGAGGTGGATGCTTCCCAGATCAGAACACCTGGCCTGGGCCTTACTCCTAACAGGGCCAGTGCCTGACTGGGGCCTGGGCACTCTAGGTGCTTGGGAAGTGTCACCTCCCCTCTGGTGCAAAGTTTGGACAGACCTGCAATAGCCATTGATAATCCTCCCAGACACGACCTTCCGGAGAGGCTCCCAGTGCTTGGCTTCTCCCTCGACGGGTGCACCCAGCAGGACGACATCTTCAATGATCCCTTGGCAATCTGGTGAGAGTCCCCAGAAAATGCTGTCAATGTCCCTGGCCACAGTGGGTCCTGGGAGGAACTCTCCAACAGCAGTGGAGGAGACAATTGTCACATACACATGCACACATATGCACATGGACACACACATGCGCGCACACGCACAGGCACGCACACACACACTCACGTGCACAGTAAGGGGGGCTTCCACTTACTGAGTTACAGACCCTGGGTCAAGCCCCTCGTATGCCTGATCTATTCCTGCAAAGCATCATTATCCCTATTTAGAGTTAAGGAAAATCAAAGACCACACGGGTAGTAAGTGCCACAGTCCAAGTTGGAACCCAGGTCTCTTTCCACCATCCATGAAGCTCATGCCAGCTGTGGACTTGGATGGGATGTTTTCCTTTAGAAGAGACGAACAGGCCCTGCATCATCATCACACATGCCAGGTGGGAGACATCACTACTTTCCTCTGCAACAGGTTCCCTGGGGTGAAGAGGAGATGGGGGAAAACGGGTCCTGGGGGCAGGGAGTGCGCTCAACAGCTGCTCTGATCTAATGACTCAGAAACACACTAGGCCACGGCTATTCCAAGTGCAGTCCACAGGCCAGGGCTGGCCCATGGACCATTTGTCCTGTAAGTACAGAAACAGAGAAACAGCATTTCTTTTATCTCATTACAGACTGGAAACTAACGGTTCACAGGTGGGCGTGCGTAGATCACACACGCTTTGAGAAACACTGCTATAGACAAAAAAGAGGTGCACACGTGCCCCTTACCCTGTCACTATCCCCTTCCTCTGCCTTATTTCTCATTTTGTAACACATCATTTGTGACCATCTGTCTCCTCCTCGAACATCGAGGCTCAGTGAGGGTGGGTACTCCAGCTGCCTTGTTCACAGCTGTGTGGCAGGACCTAGAGCAGCACTTGGTACATACCTGCTGCCCAATAAAGATCTGAATGAATGAATGAATGTGTGAGTAAACTTCTGTTCACCAGGAAAGTCATGGGCTTTGACTTTGGGTTCAAATCCCACCTTAGCCACTTCTGAGCTATGTGAGCCAAGTCACTTAACTTAAAGAGGATAATGATATTACCTTGTAGGGTCTTTATGAGGATGAAGACACAGTGTGGGAGAAAACCTGGCACGTGGACACACAATGGAAGTTAGCACGTCCCCTGTCCTCCCCCCTGCTTCCCCACCTGTGGCTTTTTCTTATGATTCTGAGTTCCTGCACATTTTGGGAATCTACATGCTGTCATTCCTGGGGAATGTGCCCAAATGGGACAGCTTTCCCAGTTCTGGTATCCTCTTGCTGAGTGACACAGGACAGGTGGCTTTCTCTCTCTGGGCTCTGGTTTCTAACCAGAGTGCATCTAACCGTTTTCCATTTGGGCTTCCACATTAGAGTTCGTCTGAAAAAGAGGTCCAGGCTGACAAGAGTTTGAGAACCCTTGTAGTAAGTACCAAGCTCTCTGAGTTCCCCTCTGGCTCTGATGTTAAAAGACTCCATGGCACAGAATTCTGATTTCACTCCTTTTCCAGGCTGATGATAATCTGGTAAAAGGATTTAAAATTTCAGTAAGTTGGAAGCTTGTGCTCAATAGTAAGGATGACTCAGATACCCCTCCACATAAGGGATATTTCAGATGCTTATGTTGCTGGCAAGGCTGTTGCTGAAAGGGCCCTTAGAGAGCAATGAAATTTCATTCCAACCCCTTCCCTTGCCAGAAGAGGAAACAGGATCGGAGAGGGAATGCGGTTTGCCCAAGGTCACACAACCAGTGAGGACAAAGCTGAGGTTAGCACCCAAGCTACACAGAGCTGCCAGCTCCCTGGGGCCATTCTCTCTGCTATTTGCAGTAACAACATGCAACATGATCAACTGTGGGTATTGTTGCTCCCAGAATGTCCAAGGCTGTGGACCCAGGGCCAACCCTGGAGCTCAGCAGTTCTCTCTGGGGGTGGTCCATTCAGGGTGTCTTCCAGGCCCAACAGAATCCTACTGGAAGGCTGGGGACTGCTTTTCAGCCATGGTGCTGATGCTGGGGGGGCTGGGACCCCTTGTGGCCAACAGTGGTAATAGCAGCATTCCTGAGCAACTGTTAGGATCAATGGAAAACTTTTAGGAAAAGCAAAAAAGATGGTTGCCTGTGACCTTGAGCTGGGACTAGTAGCTGAACCTCATAAAGTGGTGCAGCCAAACCAAGTCAGGGTGGGCGTTTACCCATCTCTGCCAGAAGCCTGCTGGCAGCTGCCTTAACCAGACTGTTCCCCTGCCACCTTCCCTGTTGCCAGGCTCAGATGTGTTCTTATATTTTAAAGAGGATTTGCTGTCTGCACGGTTGTAAACCTGGAGAGAAGCTACGTGGCAGTAATGCACAGGCGTTAGCTAGAAGAAATCAGCAAGCATCACCTTAGACCCACCCAAGCTAGAATCCTAGATGGCAGGTCAGAGCCCATCACCACCTGACCGACTGTAGTAGCTGCTGGAAAGGTAAAAATCATCAAAATTCACTGTTCGGTCCAAAAGTTTATAATCCTAGAAGATTTCAGCCTTCTACGTAAAATATAGAAAATCCTCACTTGGGTACTGCTTTAGTGTCAAGTGGGCCCCTTCCATAGGGACGGATGATCCCTCAGATCATGATGTGGATTCAGTGCGGAATGCCCCTACTTTTCAAGACCAACAAAAGAAACTGGAATTTAACATTTTAATAATAACTAATATGGGAAGACCTAAGCACCTTCTTGCTGCAGGGACAATGAATTTGCTGAAACATGTTTGGGATTTATTCTTCCTTATACCATCTGCTTTTCCTCTTTGGAATTTTTCAGGTACTAAGATAGTCCTACAGCTTTATAAATATTTAGGATTTTTACATAAAAGAGGGCAGGGATCATCTTCAAATTCAGGAGTCACAGACACATAGAGCTTTTATGCTTGAATTTCTCATTTTAAAAATAGTTCTCTGAATGCTACTAATATCCTACTTTTACTGTGAGAGCTGGAGGGCTTTCATCCCGTTATATCTTTAGCATTAAGGAGGCTCCAAACCTCCAGTAGTTAGAAAAGAAAAGCTTAATGAGTCATGTCTTTACCCCTCCACTCTTAGAACTTTTTGTCATTCACATGTGCAGTGAAAAACATTTCTTTCCAATACTTTCTTTCCTTCTACCTCTTATTTTCATTCTTGACACAGTAGCCAAAGTGATCTTTTTAAAACGTAAATCATAGACATGAGGTGTCTTTATCTTTATTTTTCCTTTTTGTCTTTTTTCGTGACCGGTAATGGGATCGCAACCCTTGGTGTCGCGCCC